AATGCAGCACAAGAATTCGGCCCGCTCACATTTCCAGCTGTCCGACTAGTCATTTCCTCGGACATTGTGCCCTTGAGTGCTTAATGAGGTCTTTCTACAGAGCAACTGGGGTGATACGGTTGTCAAGAGAGCGATGAGCCATCCGCCGTCGGACCAGAGGTGCATTTCACCTACGTATGTAACACATGCAGCGCCTTTGTGTGGAAAGCTGTCTCGTGGGGCTCGTGAGACACTTCCTCCTTAAGCTGCAGCTGGCACTTAGTCGCCTAGTTGCTTCCTGCTCTGCATAAGTCCCCAAGGGCTGACTTTTCACCTATCAATCAATTTCAAAACCATATTTGGAAATGATTATTGTGCTTTCTTCTTGTCTCTTTTTTTATTTTTTGATGATTGCATTACCAGGAGAAGATGGTGTTCAAATGTGTTTTTTAATTAAAAAATATTTTGGTATTTCTTATTTCTTATTAGATAGTAGGAGAAAGGCGAGAAAGGCAGGGAAGGCAGGGTGCATACTGTCGCTGCAGTAAGGATCCAGGCTTTATACATGGTGCACATGCTCCATCAGGTGAGCTACCAGGGCACCCCTGTGTTCGATTATGCTTAAGTTCATTACCCGTCATGTTTTCCCTTTGACCCTGAGCTTAGTGTCAACTGAAAGCCACACTGGAGCCAAGTCATGTGTGAGTGAGGTGATAAATATTTGATAAGGTAATATTGTAAAGGTGATGCGTGATACAAAAAGCTAAAGACCCAGAGCAGCAACCCCGGCTGACGCTAGCATCAATCATTTCCCCCTGGTATTTTATAAGCCTCGTAGGGTGACACAGAACCTAATCAAAATTGGATATATGGCTCCATGTGTGTGATGGTGATTGAAGGGGCTCATGCATGCAGGTTAGAGAGGCTATGATCACACGACGACAGGGGAGTTTGACATATAATCAGTCTGAGGAAACAACGTGTTATCAGCGCCTCTATCTATTGGAACTACACGTTCATTCTCACACACACATGCCTGTGTGCACCTGCTGCTCTTTGTTTACTGTTCATACATGGTCTGAGCCGTAATAGCTTTCTGCTCTCGCACCCTATAGCTGAGCAATTCTTTAAAACACGATCACTTAATGACCCCAATGACTCTCGTGCAGCACATGTCTGGTCTTAATGGTTAGGCAGCGTAGGTGGATGTGTGTTCATTTAATTCCTTTCTCATCAGAGCAAAGTAGTTTGGCAGAGTCACATTAGGGCACCAATAACAAAACGGACCTCGCTCTTCGCACGCCAGTGACTCGGCCCAGCATGGGGGAAACAATATGGGGGACTCCTGGGCCAAGCTGCTACCATGGGTGGATTTAAATGTGTCTGATGATTCAATAAGCCTGGGGGTACACTTGATCTTTCCCTGGCAGTGAAGTCATCAAGGCAAACAAATGAACGGAGATGCCTACCTGCCTACCAGGGGCTATCCGTCTCAATCTGCTTTGGCTTTGGCTCTTCCATCTGGATAGAATGGAGCCTGTATCGAGCTTTAATCCTACCTGTGTGTGTGTGTGTGTGTGCGTGCGTGTGTGTGCGCGTGTGTGCGTTATTTCTGCTCTGCTCTGCCCAGGCAGACACCCCCCTAATGTCAGATGACTGAGCGCCACTACACAGCAGTTGCCATGGTTACCAGCCAGGTTCTGTGTACACGGATACTCATCGCAATTTTGATCTGCAGTGAAGCACTGATAGGAGAGCAAGAGTCCCACAAAATCGCCCACACACACACACGCGCGCACACACACACACACACACACACACACACACACACACACACACATATACATACACAGAAGCATATTTTGACAGCTAAGCCTATACAAGCTGTCATGCATGTATTATATATGCAGAGAAATACTAGCATACATGCACAAATGTACACATTCCGCCCACATGAAGACGTATTCATTCACCTACACGGAGCACACTCGTCAGTACTGTACATAATATTGTGCTGCATATCATTAGATGGAGCACGTAAGCAAACACAGCCTGCTGGACAGAATTATCAGCCCCACCAGAAGTAGAGCAAATCACAGTAGGTGATACACCAGGATATCTCCACACCTAGAAACCCCTTTAAAGCAACCAGTGCCGTATTTCTAACTGACTCTTACAACCAATCTCTGCTTCACTCTCCATCTGCCTGTCTGTCTCTCTGCTGCTGTGTCTGTCTCTATGTTTCTTTGCTCCGTCTCTCTCCCACACACACATATATACGAACAGGGCAGATTGGGAGCGCTCAGTCAGAGCAGAAGATGAAAGCGAGAAGGAGCTGTGTCCATGCCAGCGGAGCTGTGTGAGTGGGGAAGTGATGAAAGAGCAGCTCATTTAGTAAATTGACAGCTCCCTTCAGGATTCTTCATCTTCTTCACCATGAAAGGCCCAAATCCTTCTCAACTCCCAGCTATTCTCACCAGGCGTGAAGAAACTGTCACATTCCAGCAAACATTAACAATGACAGTGTTAGTATTTTAGTTTGGATCCATCTCTCTCCTGACTCCCACCGCTGCTTCATTCAGTCCACAGATGCACAGAGGGTGTCTGTGCAAGACAGACATGCCGCTGGTAATACTCTGATGCAAGTTAAGATGCAAGAGGAAAGCTAGACAAGACAGAACTAAGAATAGATTAAAAGAAGAACTTTTTCTACAGAAGGTGACAGAGACACTTACACAATGCGTACATGAGCACGCACACTGTAAGCAAACTCTTTGCATCCTCTGGCATAAACCGCACCCTACATTTCTCAGCAATAACACAAAGTAGAAAGCTGCTGTTGAAGAGCAGCTGATATAGAGAGCCTCAATGTCTTATCTGAATGAGAAGATCCAAATACTGATAAAGACACAAAAAAGCTGTTGTCAGGGTCATTTCACTGGAGTGTATATGGAGTCATGCACACTCGATCATGGATGGATCACTGGACGAGCCTACCAGGCAGAGGCCCAGGGGCCCAAAGTGACAGGGGGTCCCCTGGCCTTCCCCTCTGAAATGTAAGATGTCAAATTAACACATATTGACCACAGAGAGACTCAAAATTACCACAAAGAGACACAAAACAACAAAAAAAGACACAAAATGACCTCAAGGAGACACAAAACAACCACAAAGAGACACAAAACAACAAAAAAGATGCAAAATGACCACAAAGAGTCGCAAAACAACAAAAAAAGAACAAAATGATCTCAAAGAGACACAAAACAACCACAAAGAGACACGTAACAACTACAAAGAGACATAAAACAACCACAAAGAGATACAAAACAACAAAAAAGATGCAAAATGACCACAAAGAGTCACAAAACAACAAAGACACAAAATGACTTCAAAGCAACACAAAACAACCACAAGGAGATGCAAAATGACCACAAAAAAATACACAAAATGACAACAAAGAGATACAAAACAACAAAAAAAGACACAAAATGACTTCAAAGAGACATAAAACAACCACAAGGAGATGCAAAATGACCAGAAACAGACACAAAACAACAAAAAAGACACAAAATGACTTCAAAGAGACATAAAGCAACCACAAGGAGATGCAAAATGACCAGAAACAGACACAAAACAACAAAAAAAGACACAAAATGACTTCAAAGAGACACAAACACACAAAGATATGCTTTACAACTACAAAGAGATGCAAAACCACCACAAAGTCTATGTGTCTTGCTCCTGCGCAGAGGAGGTGGTGGGGCCCTTTGCATATCTGTGCCCAGGGGCCCAGTGTCTCATAATCCACCCCTGCAGGAAATGACTTGAAAGGGCCCCAGCTCTTATCAGACACTATGAAGTCTTTTCATAATCAAGGCAGCTAATAGAAGAAGGCTAACAGTTACAGGCAGCATGCTGCTCATAGCTAACTGTCTGCTGCTCAGTGGAGCTCAGTGGCAGACATCTTGCTAAGCTGAGTGGAGCAGCACGAGAGAAACGCTGCTGACAGAAAGGCAGCTTTTAATTTTAATTATGTATTTTGCGAGAGTGGCGCAGTTGCGTGAAGCAGCACAGGAGAGAGGAGATACTTTTGAGATTGAGCTGAATGGTCACAATGTATTTGCACAACCTGAAACTGTGTCCTTAAGAGAAGCAGTGCTTTTGAAATATGCATCCTTGACGTCTTTAAAGTCACTTGGCATTACACACGTCAGCTAATTCTGTTCTATTGCTGAGACAATTTTCTTTGTGACCGTCGGTGGACAGCATTAACTGTGATTATGTTGAAATATGAAAAGCAAATCTAAAGCAATATGGGGACAAGATGAATAGCAGCACAGCATCATACATCTGAGGATTGCAGATACATCAGGATTTGGCAAAGAGTTTTAGAGCGCAGGAGAGATTCTGGGCGCAGAGTGAGGGATGAAGCTAAAGAAAGGAGGGTCAGCAGGGGAGAGGGACTGTAATTCATACCAAGAGAAAGCCACAGTAACAGCCTCTTACCTATTGCACAAACACCATGCTACCTCTCGTACTTGACAAATAAATCTCCCCCTCACATACACACAGCCATGTCCATGCACACACACAAATACACACACACACCCTGATCGGTTCAGCTGGCAGAGGCACAGGAGAGTGAGTTACAGCGTGCCGCACATAGGCCATTGCAGCAGAAAGAAGACTGGACAGTGCCAGCCAAATAGCTGACTGCGATTCAGCGAGGACTGAGCATCCACTAGCTTCTGTGGGGATCAAATTAATTGCCCTACAGTATGTCTCCAGTGGGACCTGTATAAAACAGGTGAGCAAATGTGTGCATGGCAGTGGATTATACAGTGGATTCATCTGAGAGCCAACTTGGGTGTGAAAACCAGTTGCAGTCTATCCGCCTGAGGAAAGACCAAACTGCTGCACTTATCTAACTCAGTAAATGATTAGTGTCAAAAAATACTTACAGATTTGAGTCTGGATTTGGGGTTTGAGAATGTATATCCACTAAAAGAGGGAAAACCTACCAGAACTCTGCCAGTGAGTGTCTGAGCAGAGATCATAACGCCAGCCCAGTCTTTGACGGAAGTCATCCATCCCACCTCGCTGACTGGGGCCTCCTCCTTCTCATCACCCTTCGGTCTGTCTGCTGCCTGATTGTTTGCGGGATTGATCACCTTCTGGGCCTCCTGGAAGAAAAAAGATAATAATGTGTGTGAGAAAATGGAGGATATCAAAGATAAAATTGGGAGCATGGTGTGCTTTAAGGATAAGGAGAACCTGCAAGGGAAAATTAGATAGAAAGATACTGTTGTTGGCATCTACTTCTCTTACAATAGGAATCCATGTGCAGGCATCAAGACCCCTAAGAACACCCCACTTTGCTGGATATGATCAACAAAGAAATAAATGACTGATATCTATGACAGTGTATTAACGGCATTATAGATAAATAAAATTAGTAATATTAATACAGAGCCAGGGGAGGGGCTAATATTCTGAGAAAAAACTCAGAATTTACAAGATTAAAGACGTAGATTCAGATTAGTCGTCGCTTCACTTTGCAAGGCTGATCAACTTCACCGGACCACAGATGCCACCGGGAATCCCAGCAAACATGGAGAAATTGAATGAGCATTGTTTGAACGTCCAATCAAGACATCCCGTTATGATTCAAAAATAGTTCCAAAATGAGGCCATCAGCTGGCATTCTTCCTGGGTGTCCTAGCAACATTGAAATATGGCATTACATAGGAGTGGGCAATATGGCCCTAAAGTAATATCACAATATTTCAGGGTATTTTTGCGATAATGATATTTATGACGATATGACAAATAGGTTAAAAAAAAAAAAAAAGTATTAATTTAAGAAAATAGAATTGCAACAAAATACGTGCTATAGTTTGACAGTCTGCCTTTAAATATTCAGTAAAAAACAAACAAAAATGATTTTTCATTTCTTTAATTTGTAAACAACAACAGTAACTCAGAGTGAGATTCAGATTCTACATACAATATTAATAGTTCAACAAAATTAAATCTACCACAAATTACACATTTAAACGGCTCCCAAATACAAAAAATTTACCCAGGGTACATTCGATATATATATATATGTCAATCAACAGGCAATGTCCTTCTCTTTAAGCAAAATCCTGAATGATTGAGTTGTTTTTTATGCTCTGCCATTTCTCCTCTAATCATCACGCTGTAACCTGAGACAGGCTGTTATAATACCAGAACTATCGCACATTCACATATATGTAGTTTTTTGTCAAGCCACAAGTGTCACATAGGTTTATATTACCAAAGGTTTATGACAAAATCACTTGACAACCTTGACTCCTGTGTGCGCACAGCAAGAGAGGGGAGGTAGAGATGCTGTGCTGCTGCCAGAGGAGCCGCTGAATGAGTTCCCTCTGAGCAGTAACTCGCTAAAGGAGTCTGAGCAGTCCAGGGCTGTTCATAAAACATTCAGGACGCTACAGTTTATTCCACACTACTGAAGCTGCTCCTCTTTTTGGAACAACTGCAGAGTCTGTAATAATTTCGCTTTCAGCCATGCTTGTTGTTGCCGTGGGTAACAGTGTGACGACAATATGTCAACAAGTCGAGATATCGACTTGTTGATGTCGAGATATTGTTGGTATCATGATATGAATTTTACATACATTAAAAATTATAGTTAACACAAACACAAACTTATTCAGCTGTTTATGTACAGAGTGTGCACTCAGCAGTTTTATGCATCCTAAAAATAATAAGTCAACAAAGTGTATATATTTACCATAAATTTGTGAGCTCTTTCTCGTAAATTTAAAAACTTCAAATTCGGAAGGTTTTTTTCTCAGAATATTGCCCCCTCCCTCAGCTCATTTTTATTTGTTTTGCCCCTACAGTGTCCCTTATATGCCGTCAAAGATATCAGCCCTTGATGTAAAACAATAACCTGTTCAGTGGACGACTGAGGCTTCAGTACTCCTGAGCTCATGCATGTGCACATTCATGTCAAGCTACAACCTCTGAGGGCAGAAACAAAGGACTGCAAATGCAGCCATCACGCTATGATGGCATCCATCTGCTATATGCTGTATATGTGTGTTTGAATAAGTTCGAGTGCATGTCTGTGTGTGTTGGAGAATGACAGAACAGTACATGTGGCCACTCTTCCCATTATGCACATATGGCTCTTTAAATTAATTGTTCCGCGGGGTTGAGATTAAAACCGTCGTTCTCATGCAGGCATTTTGACGTTCCTCCTAGTGTCCGACTCAGTGAGCAGAGCTGCATGGCAGTTCATTGACATGCTTTGCTTGGCACAGTCACCGCATGCAGCTGTTCCTCTGCAGCCATTCACTCACTCCTGATTTGACACAAGCAGGCACTCAGCTTCCCTTTCCCTCTGGCAGAAAAGGGTATGAGTAGATTTGTGTTTTACAGCCTTTAAGGCAACAAAACCCCACAATTAAAAGCACAAAGAAGCAGAGTAATGGTATGTATATGTCACTGTCACCCTTAAAAAACCACAGGGTTAGGCCCAGCAAATGGCGTCCACAGAGAATCCCTGGAACTGCAATAACTTTCAACCCTCTTGACGGTGGCCCATTGCTCCTTTTCCAATGGAAGCAGGCTCGTATTACAGCGGGGCACACATGCAGCACTTGGAACGCATTTTACAATGTCCCTCCTCACAGTGACATCTGACAAGTAGCCATCAAAGCTGATTATGCGCCATGTCAACAAAGTGAAATTTGTTCCCCAGTAGTTGTACATGTCACATTGCCACAGTTTGTTTGGATGACCCCCATAACATCCCAAAACGATGACGTACATAAAAAAAAGGACTTGTGTTTACAGTGAGTTTGTTTTTGTTACACAAGATATATTTCGTTCCAGGAAGAGCACGCAACCAAAAGCCAAGCAGCTACTGGGGTGGCTGTACGTGCCCACATGCAACACAAAAACAAACCAGAGTGCAACTTGAGTATTTCTGCAGGGCTAAAGAGCAGTGCTATTACAGATGAGCCCAAGAGAGTGCTCTGTCCATTTCAAGAGGATTGTCTGGTCAAATTGGATTACATTTCATAATGATATGGCATGGACACAGCTGCCATTTTCCTAATTTGATTCCTACCCCATAACAATGCCAATAAACTGGCCCTAAAAAAGCCTGACTTAGTCATAAGATCATTATCTGCTCCTGCCGTTGGGACTCTCGGTACTGCCGTAGATAATTCAGTTACTTATGCTTTATGTACTCATTAAATAGCTTAGTGTTAGTTGACTCCCAAAATTTTACAGTATCTATCATGAGTGTGATTTAAGGCATTTGATTTTATCTTTGAAATCAGTGCCCGATTATGTATGGCTGCTGCCATTAACAGGAAACAATGTAAATTTTGGGATTAAATTAGAGGGGATGCATGGAACACAAACCCATTAACCCCCAAACGGATATTGGAAAAAGAGAGAATTAAAAACATAAAGAGTGAAAGAGGACGATATGGATCTAAAAAGTTATTGATGCAGATATAGAGTGGTGAAAAAGTTGAATGCTGTGTTTGCTCTTATGGATGTTAATTATCTTCCACTCTCACAGGATGCAGACTGAATGTATGAGCCTGCCATTAGTCGGCTATTTCAAAGGAATTCTCCACCCCTTCCACTTCCTGTGTGTTCAAAATCCCTGTCTCTAAGTGAAACTAGTCTTGCATACAGTTCCTAAACCTATTTCAACACTATATTTTAGTGCTGTGCCGAGTCATGTGATATTCATGGTAATACTCAAGACACATTTATATTTTTGATTACTATCACATGAGCTATTGGGCGACCACCATTGTTTGCACAGAGGTGTGTCTCCTTATCTTGCTCATGTCCGATGAAGGGCTGGTGCCCCAAAGGTCACATGTGGTGATACAATTAAAATTTCTAAAATGAGCAGTTTCTGGTGTGCAGACCTGTTTTTGTATTTTAGTGCTATGCGTAAAACATCAAATTCAAAGCTAGCAAGCTAGCATATTAAAAACACTTTTATGTTTAATTTAGCCGTTTTCATACCAGTGCTTGTCTTCCCAGGTGCCAATGTTCTATCAAAACAAGTTCACTCCTGACAAAATTTTGCAAGGGCACCTGTTGCTGCATCCTAGGCTTGGACGTTTACGATTGGTTTAAAAAAATACAAACAACCCAGAGCATTTTTTCCCCTGCAGAATTATGATGGGTTCAGCAAGACCTTTCTCCAGCACTGGCATAATGCAAGACAGGTAACTAAGAGATTTTCTGCTGGGACTATAGTTAGTTTTTTCATCCAACTTTAGCCAACGTATTTTTATAGTCTGTCTTTAATTTACTTGAAAATAACAAAATTTATTTATATGCTAATCCAACACGTTCTCTTCCCAGGTCGTCAAATACAGACACTTTCTCCTGGTGTCTTCATGATAGAGTCCTTGGTATTGGCTGATACTGGCTTTAAAGCCAACTATCAGAATCAACAAACATGCTTTTTCTTATTTTGCACAATGAATCAATATTACATACATTTCATGTCTCCATCTGCTGATGGGCCATCACGATAAGAGTAGGCATGCATGATATGATGTTAATTCCACTGCAGAAGACACCTGATGATCACTAAAATTAGGTGGGATATATCGTTTATATCGGAATCGCTGATCAGCCAAATAAGTTATTATATATCCGCATATCAAATATCGAAAAAAAATCCAATACTGTGCATTCCTACTTCATGAGACATACCCTTTCTCGTCTGTATGTGACACACAGCTGTCTCTTGGGTGAAAATCACTGTAACGTGGTTAAAATTGTCAAAATTAAGTAAAGTTAATAGTTAAGTTTAAGCAACAAAACTCCTTGGTTAGGTTTAGAAAAAAACATGTATTGGGTTGAAATAACATACTACGTTGGTTGCTCTGAGCGTCAAGCACTAATGCAATGGGTCTACACTTTCGCCACGCATCTGACAGATGTCTATTTAAGTTTTATTTCCATCTTTTAACCCTTCACAGACACCATGAAAACTACAAAAAAATAAACACATAAAAAAACAAAGTTTGAAATACAAATCTCTTTATTACTTTTAGAGTCTCTCAGTGAATACCCAGCATTTAGACGCATCTCTCACTTGAATTTTCTGATAATAGACAGGTCACAAAATTGTCCATAC